TATATATGTATATATATATATATATATATACATATATAACAAAATGTAACTGTAATTGATGCAGGTTTTCTATAAAATGTTAACACGTGATTGTTTATTATCGATAATTTTACTGAGATAAACATTTGTAAGTCTTGTTGTCTATTACAGTGTTTTCAAGATGCAATTTTTGTTAACAAGTATATGCATACAACTATCTTTAACTCAATCTAAATGTATCATATCATGTGTTAATATATTTCCTTATGGATTGTAGACACAGGCTGCTTTGGTCTACGATGCACTAAAAGTGTTTGCTCTGAGCCTACATAACATAAGCTACTACCAAACAGTTCGTAACCAGAAGATATTCTGTGATAAACCACAACCCTGGAAGCAAGGAAGTTTGCTTTTAAGTACTATGAAAAAGGTAGGAATGATATCTGTCCCGGTTATTTGTTTTTGACGAAGTACTTTTACACAGCACGTCTAGATTATGAATGATCCAACGTACTATTTAATATTTAGAATAACAGATGAAAGTTATTTATGTCTTAACACAGATAAAAAGTCACGAATGTAAATAATTAATTAACGTATTACAACTTCTTTTCTAAATACATCCTTATAATTAAGATTATATGAATGAACATTCTTGTGCGTATTGGGCGAAACATTACACTTGCTACAGTAGACGTTTTACCAAATAACTTGACACTCAGTTCAGTTGTAAGTGGTGTTTTATTAATCTAAAAAATTGTTTGATATTGATAACTGAAGCTGTTAAGAAAATAAAACAAATAAATGTTACACTACATCTTACATTAGCTCATTAAAATTAGGCTATTTGATTATTTAAAAAAATTGGTAAATACGGTTTATTGCATCATATTTTTTACACAAGTTCATAGCATATCACGTGCAGAGGCTATGAAAAAGCTCGTTATTGGATACAAGTGTAAATTTTTAGGATACCTATTCTTTAAAAGAGTAAGTAAGCAATGTGGAAAGAAATTCAAGAATGTATTGAAAAATTACAAAAGACGGTTAAGCCTAACCATGCGAAAGTAGACTGTGTTTTGCAGGTACCTTTGGCCAGAAGAGTAAGTGACAGTGATATAGTCATTTTTGAATATAGAAAGAATAAAAAAAAATACTGTTGTTTTTAGCTTTTCATTTATGAAATAGCTGAATATGTATATTATTGTCATTAATCGTTTCTTCATATGAATTCACTCTGTTTTTTTTTGTATGTGGTAGGTAAAATTTAAAGGTCTCACAGGATTAGTTGAATTCGACCAAAACGGGATGCGAACCAGCGTTTCACTTGACATCCTTGAATTGAAAGAAGAAGGGCTGAAAAAGGCAAGTTTCATAAGATGTATCCCCTAAATCGTAAACATAATTTTGAAAGTTCCCTTTTTAATCAAGACGGTTGCCAGTGAGGCTCTTTCCTTAAAATTAGATAACACTGAAAAAATGCAGGATATTCCATACCAGTAATTAATTCTTTGGTTACTACTTGTATAATTTAGGGATTGAGATTCTTAAACATCTAAATATCATACTTTTTCAGTGCTTGAGTATGTTCATTTTGTTCAAAATCTGAAAATGTATTTCATAAATTTATTTTTTGGAAACAACAATAAAACTATTCTCCCAAAGACATATGTAACGTCAGAATGCTTTTGCTCAGATAGCATTCTGCCAAAGATACTCGTGTTCCTAAATAAAAACGATGTATGAATTTATGATGAGAGTGTTCATAATATCTAATATTGTTTACTATTCTTCTTCTTTGTTCTCCTGAAGAAGAACAGTAAACTATTCGAAAGCGCTTGAGTTTTGGGTCTTATTTTAAGTATACTACACTTTATATCTGATCCTTTGTGCTAACTCTTTCATCAAAACAGTACCTGATATATTATTCTCATTGTAACCAGAAATCTTTCATTTATTACGTGATACCTGATATATTATTCTCATTGTAACCAGAAATATTTCATTTATTACGTGGTACCTGATATATTATTCTCATTGTAACCAGAAATATTTCATTTATTACGTGGTACCTGATATATTATTCTCATTGTAACCAGAAATATTTCATTTATTACGTGGTACCTGATATATTATTCTCATTGTAACCAGAAATATTTCATTTATTACGTGATACCTGATATATTATTCTCATTGTAACCAGACATCTTTCATTTATTACGTGGTACCTGATATATTATTCTCATTGTAACCAGAAATCTTTCATTTATTACGTGATACCTGATATATTATTCTCATTGTAACCAGAAATATTTCATTTATTACGTGATACCTGATATATTATTCTCATTGTAACCAGAAATATTTCATTTATTACGTGATACCTGATATATTATTCTCATTGTAACCAGAAATATTTCATTTATTACGTGGTACCTGATATATTATTCTCATTGTAACCAGAAATCTTTCATTTATTACGTGGTTTGTTTGTTTCTGAATTTCGCGCAAAGCTACACGAGGGCTATCTTCGCTAGCCGTCCCTAATTTAGCAGTGTAAGAATAGAGGGAAGGCAGCTAGTCATAACCACCCACCGCCAACTCTTGGGCTACTCTTTTACCAACGAATAGCGGGATTAACCGTCACATAAAAGATCGAGCATGTTTGGCGGTACTGGGATTCGAATCCGCGACCCTCAGATTGAGAGGCGAGCGCCTAAACGTTTTTGAAAAAAAATTAGAGTCATTTACTGTAGAAGAATCCTAAGCCCAACAGCAACAACACGGTATATATTTATACTACTAAGAAGTATAAGCAAAAGCCTTTCATTTTGATAACTGGCAAAAATAACTATAATTTTAAGTTCTCACAAGGAATAACAGCACATATTTCTAGCGATGTTTTGATTACAGGTACATACTCACTAGAGACATCATAGTGGGAATGTTACCCTAGCAACCAACAAGAAACTTTTAGGGAAACCTTATGAATAACTATATCCCTGATGTGTGTATATAT